GTAGCCTAGACATAGGACCTTAACCCGAGGTTGCGACTATTTCCATCCTAAAACTAAGATATATCTCATAATAGACATATTAGGGAATGTCTTAGGACTTTGAACTTKCTTAGACATAAGTCAAGTGAGAAGCGTAGTCGTTGGTTTCTAAAGTAAAAAGCATATTGTCCTTAGCATGTCCTTGATTCTTTGTTGGCTAACTTGAAGTAGTTCGGGCTAGGTTTTATCATTCTAAGTCCAAATCCCAAATCCAAACCATTATTTGTGACCACTTCCCATTTTACAAGAATCACTCATTCCAACATTCACTATTCTTTAAAACTTTAGAGTTTGGAAATTGTTTAGAAGTCCTTRAGGATCGATASTTGGATACTCCATCCATTTTATATTACTCTGACAGGTGTGCGCTTGCATCTATATAATTGTTACCACGCTTAGCGCGTGCGTTCAGCATAAACGCCCAGTCAGACTTCTCTTCAATTATGACCTGGTCCACCCCAATGCTAGATATGTTGGGAGGGATAGGATGTTGGCAGATGCGCCTCCATCTACCAGTACTCTTCGGACCAAGACGTGATCAATGAGAGGAGTGACCACAGGTGCATCATTATGTGGCAAATGAACTTCCTCCAGGTCGGTATCGCCGAAGGTAATGGAGCAAGTAGGTTTCTGCTTCCTAATGATGCATACCTCGCGCCTGGCTTCGCGAGCTAGTTCTTTTCTTTTGTTTCCAAACTGGCCCCCACTAGGACCCCCGAATATTGTGTTGATGACCGCAGGTCGGTCATCTCGACGAGGAGGCGTCCTTGAACGCTTCCTCTCTTCTGTCTTCTCCACCGAGTTTGTCCTCGGCTTTCCTACGAACTTTTTGAAATAGCCATCTTGAATGAGGTCTTCAATTTGGCGCTTCAGCTCCCAGCAATTCGTCGTATTATGGCCATGATCGTGATGAAAATGACAATACTTATCCTTGTTACGCTTTTCTGGGTCTCCTCGGAGCTTCTCAGGTCGCTTGAGGAGCTTTTCCATCCCGCTTTCCTCGATGTTCGTAAGTATTTCAGAAATGGGGATGGTGGTCGGAGTGTAACGCTCGTAAGGTCGGCTTCGATTGTGGTCGATCTCCGACCGACGATACTCGGTTTTGCTGCCAGAGGAGGACGATCCCTTGTCCTTAGACTTAGAATCAGCCTTCCTCTTCTCTTGGCTTAGCTTCTTCTGGTCGATTTGCTTTTCAGGTCGGCCAGTTTTGGTACGAGGAGCTCTTGCCCATCAATGACTTTCTTCGCCTTTTGCAGAACTTCAACGAAGGTTGCTGGAGCCTCCTCTCTGAGCTTCACGGTGAGGGTCTCGTCGGCCAGGCCGGTGAGGAAGTAGCACATGGCCGAATCATCAGAGCAGTGCACGACTTTCAGCTGCTCCTCCTGGAACCTCGTGACGTATTCTCTCAGCGTCTCTCCCTCCTTCTGCCTGATGGTGGCGAGGTGAGTCGCTGTCTTTCTATCGTAATGACGGGAAGAGAATTGGCTAATGAATTCTTTGCTCAGCTGGGAGTAGGTCGAGATCGAACTGGCCGACAGTCTCCGGTACCACAGGAGCACGCTACCGGTAAGAGCGATCTGGAAGGCGCGGCATTTTATCGCATATGTTGCCTCTTGAAAGTCTATGAGGCCCTCGAAGACCTCAACATAATCCTTCTGGTCTTTAGACCCATCATAAGGTTTCATAGTGGGAGTTTTGAACTTCGGAGGAATTGGGGCCTCCAGGATGTCCGAGGTGAATGACGATTCTCTCAAGTCGCCATCGTCAAACGAGCACTCTTTCTTCTCGCACCTGGCCTTGAGCGCCTGGACCTGCTCATCGAACCTGTGCTTCATCAGGTCGAACTCTTCCCTGATGATCACAGCTTCTAGTGTTAGAGGCTTATACTTTGATTGAGCCTTGAGGTCAGAATTGGAGAACTCTCGGGAGTAGGACAGAGAGTCTTCCGACTCCCGAGATGTTCTCTTCTTATCAGCCAGGTGCTTTCTCAGATCGTTATCCCGCAAGCTGTAATCCACCCCCTCATTGTTGGGAACGGGCTCGCGGTCGCCAGGGTGGAAAGATGGAACCCGGCCTTCCCTCTCTCTGGGTGCGCCTGGGACCTTGGAGGGAGACACTGTTCGGTTAACCCGCGTCGCCTCGGCGTACATTTCTTCCATTGTGCGCAACCGATGGCGCATATCATCCAACTCGCGCTGGAGAGTAAACAAAGCCTGAGGGTCTGTCGCCTGGTTGGCCCTTCGACAGGTCTTTCTCGAGGTCTCACCTCGGCCTCGGTTGGCCTTTGAGGGTTTCGGGTGAGCAGGGGGTAACTCTTGGTTCGCGTGGCGGGCCGATCTCCATGGAAGATCTCCCTCTTGCCCT